CAACAATCGAGGAAGTAGAAACAACTAGTTCCATGATTCACCGCATGTCGTCACTATTGTCGCTAATTGCGTGGAAGAATTTGTTAACCTCGTTAGACAACCTACATTCGCGAACATCCTCGAAGTGTACAATTAGATTTGCACGAGGAATTGTCGCTGCTTCTGATCGTGTGACATCGAACATCGAAACCTTGTAACTGCAGCGTGGTTTCCGTTTGCGATAAGAATGACGCAGGTTAAAAACTCGATGTATTTTTTCCAGCGTAGGATTTAAAAATTCTCGTTTCACGTATGTACGTAACATGTAACATGTATAATGATCTTGAGAAGTCTTCGTATAGAACGTGCATTTACGCAAATTGTACGTTGCATATGCATAACGTGTTTGTCATTAAAGTTTTACAGGGTACAGTTTCGTCGAGGATAAGCGGTATAAAAAAAATGGCGAGGAGAAAAGAAAATAATATTAATAACAAGAACCAGGAAGCCTCGATGAACGAGAACTTCCTCATGATCGGAAGTTTCAACGATAAATACCTGTTTCGAAACCGGAAGATAGGCGAACCCTGCCAAGCGGAAAGATAAGTCGTTATTTCTTCTGAAATTAAATCTGATACTCGTGAAAGAGAAAATCCATTACTTGCATTTTATCAGTACGATACATATTAAACGTTTCAGCGGTATTTACGTGGCTGGTTAAAATACGACATCCTGCGTGCGAATAGCACAAAGAAAGGGGAAATAAATTCATGCCCTCTTTCACCCTGTACACTTGCTTGAAAACGAACACCTGTCATCCAAACACGTGTTTATTTGCTTTAAAATGCGCTTTCAAGTTCCTTTCATGTTCTTTCTGACGGGGAACCAGCAAGGCAGTGTGCGCCACATACTGCGCGGCTTCACTCATCCCATTAAAATCAGCCCTTTTCCAACATTTCGACTATATTATCTGACAAAATATTGCGTTGTTAAAATTCTGCTCGAAATTACCTTGAATTTATTTAAAAAGTGAAAATTACGCGAAATGTAAGTTGAAGATTAGAAATTATTTTATTGGAAAAAATAAAATAGAATTAAATTTATGCAAATACGAATACTTCTTGAATAGATAATGTTACAACGAGATGACTAAAATGTTAAATATAACAATAATAATAACAAACGTTTAAAATTAATACGAAGATTATAGATCAGATAACAGATTCTTAAAGATTTTAATAATTTTTCAATCAATTTTTAGGTTTACTTCATTTCTCTACAAGCGTCTTGGTATTCACGAAGGAAAGGATAAACATAGAGCAGAGGCTAAGTCATCAAGCTGCTACGTTACTCGATCCAATCTGATCGTGACTGGAAGGAAAACTTGACATGTCTCTAGTATGCCGAGAAATCTTATCAAGTCATCCAAATTTAACGATGTTTCCGTTCGAATCATCATAGAGTTAAAAATTCAAGGATTACGACTACTTCTCGTGTTACGCCGTGGAAAATCAGCAGGAGAAACATTGCGTAAAGCACTTCAATTGGAAATTCACGAAACGTCGTTGAACGTTTTACAAGTAATTTAATAAGACCACCCAAATAGTCTGTCCTCTCGAATAATCTAACCGCGAGTAACCGTGAGGAACTGGTTAACCTCGACCCCCGACGTTCTCGTCGACAGGGGTTGCGAACGAGCGAAGGGAGGGCGGGCTAGTGCAGACGGCCGAGACTGATCGATGAAGAAAAGTATGCTATTTCAGGACGCTGGAGTAGTCGTGTGACGTGAGCGAATCTGCTGTTCCACACGGTGTGACACCTTCACGAGGGCTATCGATTCACCCTGTATCGCATCCATCGCTTCTTCTTTCCTTCCCCTCTTCATCTTCCCACTTCCTTCCACTTCCCTCCATTTCCTTCCTCTTCATCTTCCTCCACGAAGGCGAGCACACAGCTGGAAATTCTTATGTAAATCGATTCGCGGCGATGCTGTTGAAACCGTGCAGGAAATGCCACGAATGCTACGGGAGACGTACGATCCGCAATACGTGTCGCTAGTGCGTCGTCCCCGGGATAAATCGATAAACGGCACGCGATATTAGGAGCTCTTTCCGCCGGATAAAGCCCCGACATAGCGGCGAAATGCTAGATTTCAATGCGACCCGGCCGTCCTTCCTTCCCGCCGAAAGCCCGGACTATTATGCGCCTTTTCCGGCCCTGTGGATTAAATCAATTTGCCCACACTGCGTTCTTGAGTTAGTCAGACTCGCGTGGAAACGCGGCTATGCGTTGCGCTTTCACCTCGTTTTCACGCATTGCATCCTCCTATGTTGTGGCGCACCAAACTTTGTTTGGAAACGCGACACACATTCGCTAGGTCTTGTGACTCATATTCTAGCTTTTTTCTCTTTTGTCTGGATAATGGAAACGCGACTTGTGGTTGCTACTTTGTTTTCTTGCAATATGTGTTTGGAAACGTTACGTGTCTGATTGTTACTTTATTCTGGATGTTTCAAAGTGGAGCTTACATCTGTTCAGCCTGTTGTTTCGGACAGATGAAAACGTGGTTTGAGGTTGTTCCATTTTCTAGTGGATATTTGGAAACACGATCTGAGTTTGCGTTAGTTTCCCAAATACAGCCTTGCCCTCTGTTATATCTCAAGTACCTAGAAACGTAGCTCGCGTTTGCTTTATTTGATTATACAGTGTTGCATCTTAGCCGAGCGTTACATTTTTCGCTTTACGTGTTCGTCATTGCATACAGAATATTTGGAAACACGGCTTGCTAGTTTCATTTTCTTGCGTAGCAACGTCTTCACGCGATATTATCTGATGAATATTTGGAAACTGGGTTTCCGTTTGTCTCAATTTCTTGCGTTGCGCCCTTATCTACCATTGTATTTTGAATACTTGGAAACGCGTCTTGCACTTATTTCATTTTCTTGCGTAGATTTCCTCGGTTTCTTCGTGTTACATCCTCACTCGCCAGTATCTCGTGAATATTTGCAAACAGACTCGCAATTATGTTGGTTTCTCGTTGTGCATCCTTGCTCATCGTTATATTTTATAAACTTCGCTTAACGAGGAGTTTCTCGTATTTATCTTACGCTGCATTCTTGCCATCTTTATGTACTTTCGGAGGCACTGCTTATACTTATTTGATTTCCTAGTTATATATTGTGGACACTTGGGAACGCAGCTTGTCTTTGCCTTGTTATTCCCTACCGCGATTTAAATTCTACCTTAACTCATTACTATATTTTGAATGCCTGAAAACAGATCTGGTATTTATTTCATTTACTCGGAGTACATCCCACCCACCTTTACAATTTAAGTACTTAGTAGCCACGATATACATATGTCTCGTTCTCTTGCATTTCATTTTTGATCCTTCACTTCGTTTTAGAGATACTCGCTTAGAAATGCGTCATACGTTTGCGTCATTTCCTTGTCTTCTTCTCTATCCTTCTTTTCTCTTTGCATTTCTATACCATCTGAAATATTTTGGACATTCGTTACACTAGATATTCGGAAACATGACTTATGCCGCATCCATATTTGTATTCTGCGTTATTTGAAAATGTAGCCTGCATCTACGTCCGTTATTCTGCATATTCGCGTATCGTCACGCTATCGAGAGTCACACTCGAGCGATATATCGCAAAGGAGGAACAGCTTGCCATACTTGGATTGGTCGGTAAATATTAAATCGCGAGCACTTGTTCTCGAGGATACGTTTTATCGTGTGATTTGTTACTCAAAGCAATCGTTGAGTTAACATTTTTATTGCATTTTTCAATTTTTTATAGTTCGTTCCGGCTTTCCTTTTACCTTCTAAAGACGCAGTGGAACACGATAAACAGAATTATCGGGAAATTCAGGAATAACATGGGGAGGACGAAAAAATATTGGTGATACGTGTTGATAAAGAGCTGCATTCCCGGTTAGAGGTTAACTGCGATGTTTTAACGCCATCTATTAGTCACGCTGATTTTTAATTTATACGAGGAACTGGTTGATAAGTCCATATTAATATCCACACAATCGTGGCGTTTATTTCATTGGCCTTATCGCCACGTTGAAAATTATTCTTGTTATGTACAATGATACATGGTTAATAGTCAATCTTCGATCTTTGTTTTGTAATTGAATTAAATTGTTCCCAACGGTGATAAGGATGAAAATTAAAAGTGGACAGTAAAAGCACGTACTTTCGCATAAAGAGCAATTGTTCTATATTTTTAGACAAGATTAGAATTTTAAATAATTCCATTGATCATTCCTTTGATTTTTCGCTTTTTGTGTTCTGTCCTTGCTGTTAAAAACGTAATTTTGTAATTTTAACAGAGAACGCATAAAACAATGGAAATTTCTATACATTTTTGTCTTCTGTTTTGCTCTCTTCACGCCTTTCGTACTCCCACTGTTCATGTCAACATAAATTTTTATTCAAGTTGAATGGCAGTAATTAATTGTCCAATTGTGGGAATTAAAAGAATTAAGATGACCTCTGAATATTTTCAAGCTTTTACATACAAAAAGATTGTTTATGCTACAGGTTGTTCCTCTTTGTATCAAATAAGTTTCATAATAATCACATTAATATACTTCAACGGTTTACTTAATATTTTTACATCTTTTCCAGTTGTAAGAAGTACGTTGCGGAATAAATATAATCGCCTCTGATGAGTAACATTCGAATCCCTGAAGTGGAACAGTTGCATTGCAATTGACTGAAATTCACAAGTATAGCATGAGCTATCACATAGCGAGGTCGTAAATTAAACCATCGAGTACCAGCATCGGCTGATGTCTTGAGGCTATGAACAGCATTCTCTTTTAGAACTTCGCTCGATAAAAAAGGTATGTCTAACGATTAACGATACAAAAATTACTGAAGGACAAATAACAAACGTTAATTACTATTAAAATAACGTTCATATGCTTTCCAGAAACTGTCGAGAAAACACGTTTCCCCAAAGTTCCCGTTAATCATTCTTTTCCTATAAATACAATTTTTATTGTATTCTATTGCATATAATGTGCATACGTTGGCTCTGCATTATAAGTTTCGTCGTACGCTCCTGGTCGGGATTTCACATCCACATGTGCCCATATTTCTGCCAATTCCTCTGTCCCTCGACACATGAAACGTGATTACTTTGACTACTGACCGATTTTACGACCTCGCTATATCGTGATCCCCCTACTGCATATACCTACCTATCGAGCTTAGTCCTCTCTCATCCCTACTACAGGAGGAGCTTGTGCAGGATTGTCGTAGTCAGTGCACCCTCGTTACCCTTATATCCTCTCTCATCAGCTATCTCTTCAGGTCTATCCAGTGGAACCGCTTCAACCGTGAGAAGAATGATCTTGCATGATCGATTGCTGCATCAGCTGTCCTTGGACTTCAAAGAGATCTTTCGATCAGACGTGTTTCCAGACTTTCTTCATGACCTTATCTTTTATCTGGTGTCTCGATGTCAGAAATCAACGACACAGATGTCGCGCCACATGGCTACTGAAAAACAATCGAAGGATCGATAGCATCGGTAATTAATACGTTCGATACGCAATACCTTTGGCGACATTGTAGTCCCGCTGATATAAGATAGCATGTTAGTCAGACGACTTTTATCTCTGCTTTTTCATTTTATTTGACCTCAAGATATTTTTTGACTTTTTACACAAATTTTTAAGACCTCTTGTAGACTACTTCCTATCAGTTGTTTATTGGTTGAAGATTTTATTCGAAGAATCGCCTTAATTTCATTTCCGTGTTCAATATCTTATTTATCAGCGATTATCGTGATATTCCATAATACATTTAGACTATTAAGTATTATTTTTAATTTTCATATTAAAGGTGTTATTGAAATACGCTTGTTAGAATTTATAGATAGGTGGAATTTCGAAAATCGTATTAGCTCAGGTGGTTTATATTTAAACTAATCATTGGGTGATTTGTAGGTAACTTTACTTCCAAGAAGTCTGCAATACAGTTACACAAGGAAAAAGAAATAAGAAAAACAGAGCTTTTCGAGAATGCTATAAACAGATATTTGATCCGAGAAACCGATCATGAGCCAACTCAAAGTCAGTGCTTCTCAACTGCAGAATCAATAGAGGTTCTCACGAAATGTATCATTGCAATCAAATAAGACATCTATGTACATTTAAATCCATCGAAACAAGATCTTCATATTGTAAACGAAGAATTTGTCATACCACAATTTATTCTTCCAAAATGCCACGTATTTCATTATATCACCGAAGAGCGAAAGAAGTCATGGAATATAGCAAAGGTAACTTAGCCAAAACAAAGAATGTAAAACGAAAATCCTGGGTCGGTTTGTCAACGACCTCCGAACGATTAAATCGATCCTCCTATAGCGAAGGAGGAGGAACCGTCTCGTGAGTGGCCACGCCACGACGGAATGGAATTTATTTAATTAACAATCGTCCGCGAATAATTAGCTCGTTGAGAGTTCAGGGGTATCGAGAAGGAGTGGTGGACACGGAGAGGAGGAGTGAGAGAGGAAAGAGAAGAAACTTGGCCGGTATCGGGGGCTTTCCTGTCGGTCGTTAATTATCCCCGGGGAACCGTGGCAAGAAACGATGACGGGTGAAAGTAAGGGGTTCGTTATTCCTGGAATGGCTTTGATGATCGTCAACAATACGCATTCCATCCGGTTGCAGTCACTTCCACGTCGAATCACTTCAATTACCGGTGAGAGAGCGAGGAAGCGTTTTCACTTTTCTTATCCGACGATCATCGTGTGCCTTGGAATAAAGAAAAGCGGAATAGTTTTTCTCCGTCTTCCTCTCCTCTCTTCATTTTCCTTCTTTCCTTCCAGTATCGTTCGAACACTCGGGTCCACGGACGATCCACACTCGGCGAACGAAGTGAGTCGAACATGAACGAGTAAAAACGAACGAGGACGAACGAAGAGTAAGGGTGCGAGAAAGACGATGTATGGAACGATTTGTTTTCAGTCGGCGAAGAAATACGAGCACCGGTGCAGTGACGATGAGATTTGTTATTGTGATGGCATTAGGAAACATTTCTATGAAATTTTGATGGAACGAGGAACTAAACGAGATTATTTCTGCATCAGGAAATAAACTTCATTTTACTGAATGTTTGTTTTACTACCGATAATTATGTTTTTCAATTTATAGGAACGAGCAGTGTTAAAGAAATAAAAACACAGATGAACATTTTATAACGAGCCATTTGGCGGAAAGCGTTCATCTGAACCCCCGCAGTTTGAAATGTAAGTTTTGAAAATAGTACGATAATAGGGCAGAGAATGAAATGTAGAAAGTACATATGTACATGCAAATAAATTCTATCAGTCCTCCGACTATTAGCACCATCTATGGGCGCATTCGGCAAAATCGACGCTAATCATCTGCTAGATGTCACAGTACGATACGACAAATCTTGAACAGACCGAAAATGTCTGTAGTCAACAAAGTGCTACTATTTTCGCAATACATTGCGAGGCTAGTCTGAAATATATTGTACTGATGGTAAAAAGAATTATGCAATCGTAGAGAGTTTCTCGGAAGATGTACCAATTCCCATCGGCCGAGTTTTGTATCTGTGATTTTTACTGATCTAACCGCCGCGACCAAGTGATTTCGTAAGCGAGCTTTCTTGAGCGTTGCATGGAACATCCGGTGTTTAGAAGCAGCTCCGGGTTTAGCAACGCGCTGCTCGCATTAACAATGCACAGTAGTGCGGCGAGGATAAACCGAACTGCTTTCCACCACGAATTTTCCGCCTTTTGGGAAGATTGGTATCTAGATGTTCCATTTCGTTAATCCGAACGAATTGTCCAGAGAAAAATGTTCCAAGAGCACTTGTGAGAAAACAGGATTATTAGTTTCTATGCAAAGCTTATCGTGATATGTAAGAAAACAACGTGTTCGTACAAAATTAGCATTTTATCGAATTAATAATAATATATATATTTTTTTTTAGGGAATTTGCCATCTGAAAAAAAGGAAGAAATCATATATACATGGGATACTATTTTTAGAAAAACAAATCGCAAATCGGCAAATGCCGATGCAGGATCTTATTTTGGAAAAACAAATTGAAAATTGACTGATATCGATACGGAAGACTATTTTTAGAAACGAGCTAGCTGTGGTGAGCGGTCTTTGCGGCAGGAGGGGGAGGGGCAGATCAGCGGAATCGTAATCCTCACAGAGGAAGAATCGCGACAAGAAGTAAATTTTTATAAACATATATATCCATGTATAATATGGATTACAATAATACCTTCTTAACAGAGTAAAATACATATTTAGGTTCCGAACCAAATAAAACAAAACAGTTGTAATTTACTGGAATTCATCAACAAGATGAACTTTTAGACTGCTTCCTTGGAAGAAACAAAACACGTGGCTTATCATATCCATTATGGTCATTAAATTGATATTAATATAAATACCGAGCGAAAATAATGTTCTACCGATATCTATTTTGACTCGATTAGTTTTCCTAACGCTAATTACCAACATTCTGGAAATTTCTGGGGTAATAAATTCTTAAATGTTCTTCGCCTGTCTCCTCTGGCAACGAACGTTCGTTCACACCAATGTTATGCCATCGCGGATCTCAACAGCTTACATCCAGCAGATTTACATAATGCTAGGTTTGTTTGCTAAACACTAAGAGCACGAAATTTCCAGCCAGCACGTTCGCCCGAGGAACGACGTGTTATCAATACGTGGGTAACTTATGCAATAATAATTTGCCAAATTAATTGGGAGATTCGTCCAATAATTGGACACATTCGAAAACCATCGCTACCTTAAACGATCACGTATAGATGTCGTTCCTGCTTTTCACGATTGCGATATCGACGTGACAGTTGCTTGAGTAAGCGCAATTGGTCAGCATTTAAACCAGCGAGAAGTTGCTTTTGCGTACATTCAAAATCCAGTATGCGATAAACTATATATCAGATAATCTGATCTTATATTTTTAATATAACGGTAATACAGCTCGGTCAAGTTATCGATGAATTTATCAATAGCCGAAATATTATCGGTTTTAAACGTTAATCGACTTTTTTCGTTTCCTGTTCATTCATAAATTTCGATATTTTCAGGTGTTTTTATTGAGCTTTATATATCGACTTCAATAAATCATCGTGGATAGAAGATGGACAAAAATATAATATATTTGAAGAATGTTCGATTGCAATGCAGATGATAATTCGTGATTAAGTTATTTGGAACATGGTAAATATTTCAAGTAAGATTTAAATGTACTAAATATGATATTGTGGCTAAATACGATTTAGACTATACGATTAGATATTGCTTGGTTATCTGTTTATGGAAGAATATTACGTTTGTCTTTTCCCCTTTATGTTACTAGTATAAGCTATAGTAAATTTTATTAGTAAATTCTCACTCTGTGTTATTTCACCTCGCCTTATTAAAACGTTAATCTTTTTTCTCAGGTTATTACAATATACAATACTAGAGAAAACTAGATTGCATGGCGAGGTATACCAAGTAGTATGGTGGGGGAAACTAGATTGCACTATGCACGTATAAAGTCTGCGTAACGAAGGAAATATGGCTGCGTGGCGGGAGATTTGAAGTGGCGGGGGACCAAGAGTAAATAGAGGGAGAAGTGACCTCGTACGATACAGAATGTCGAAATCTTTGACTCTACCTCTAAATACACGTCTTTATACCACAAGGTAAATCCAGTTTATTATAATATCGTATTGCAACCCATTATTAAGTAAAATGTTTGCGACAACTAAGTTCGTCTATATTCCATAACTATGTTCTAAAAGTATTTAGAAAAATATCACACAAGAAAGTTTTAGATCATTCAACAAGTTCTACGCAAATACACCGATGTACCTGTGCAAAAGATGGTGGCATAGAAAGGCGGTATTCGTTAAATGGTCTCTATAGCCTAACTCTGTTGCTGGGATCACACTGTGTAATTCAATTGGGTCTAAAATCTTTCAAAAAGCGTGCTGACCTATTACTACTAGTACCTAAGGAAAGTAAAGCTCCTTCTTAGCGAGTACATGGTAAAGCACTTTGCTTCGCTTGAGAAACGCATCGCGCTAAAGCGTTTGCGATCAATTTACTTTCAATGCTATTCTTAGCATCTCGCGCGCCGCTAATCTGAAGGGTAATAATAACGTGCTTGGACGGTCGTCGATCGACGGCGCCTTCTGTCTTTTAAAAACGACATTCGACGTCGCTTTCTCCTTCCTTCTTAAAATACGGAATTTATTTCTCCGCAAGAAATCGATAATTGATTTCATTCTCATTGTTAAAATCCATGTATCTAGTTCTCGTTAAAAACTAGACGAGAATTTTGTAGTTACAACGAACGTATACACTGACATAAAAATTGATATGACCTTTTTTTACGGATGAAATAATATTCCAAAATGAAAAAGTGTTCTGTTATAGAACGGACGAAACAATTGATTACTAACCTGCTATTGTGATATTTTTAACGGGGTATTCTTGTAATCCAGTCAATAAAATACGATTTTTTTTTGATTTTTTACTAAGGAAGTCATGATACGTTTTGGTATGCAGTTTTCGTTCACAGATTTATTTATACGTAAAGAATATTTACGAATTCAAACGAATCTTTTTTACCCGAGCATTTTCGAAACCATATACTTTGAGAAAATGTAAAAAAAAAATCGATTTTTTTAAAGCTGGATTACAAAAATGCCCCTTTAAATTTTCAAGAGAGTGAATTAATCAATTTGACGTTAAAAAATTTGCAGTTTATGCGAGAAAATAAAAAAAAACGGGAAGAAACAAACAAGACCGGTATATAGTATACAGTATCCCGTCCAACGCAACGTAGAAAGTTCACCGCTGTGGGTCGAACGCAAAGCCAGACGCAAGAAGACAGTTCCGATTGACAAAGCGGCCTGCTGCCGTAGATTCGATTCAGGATAGTCCGATCGATGCCAACTGTGGCACACCGCGGACCCCGTATATATAGACGTCGCCTCCATATTTAATGGTTCGAATTTACGAAAAGTCGGTGTGCCAGAAACACGATGGAAATAGAGGCATTGTTTCGACCAGGCGTGCGCATGCGCGTTCTCATGCACGCCCTCCGAAAATGCCGGCATAAATTTACGGACAGCGTGGGGAAAGGAAGGAAAGGGAAACAAAATAGGAGAAATGGAAAAAAAATATAGGAAACAACGAAACTGAAAAAGAGGGGAGAAATAAAAAACAGAAAAAAGGGGACGGACGCCTATTTAGAGATAAACCTATTGACTCTGGAAACGAAACACGGTCCAGAATCGCTGCGTATAAACATTTATCGTGGACCATTTAATGGGACCTGCGAAACGGGACGAAAGCTTCTTCCTTGTCTATCTTTTTCTATCTTCCTTTTTTCCCGAGATCGACACAGGGAGAGAGAGTATATGACTTCCCTTTCCCGCTAATGCTGCTCTATGGAAACGCCCACGTGAATTCATAGCTGCTTATAGCAACCCTATCGTCGACGATTCGCTTTTTGCAACGCGAGGTCA